AGATGATGGGACCGATGGGAAGGAGAGGAATCTATTTCTTCCGTTTCCCATTTTTCATTGTCATCGTTGTAGAATTTCAAACTTTTTAAAGGTAATTTAATTTTTAACCTTATTTTTTATACATTTTTATTTAGGGGTGATATTATATCGTAGCCATCCAGATCCCCCCTTTGAGGGAGGTGAAAGGGTTAGGAGTATCAATAAATATCAATAAATACCAATGAATAGATTTCGCAGATCTCAGAGCACAGAATACAAAAGGGGCAAATCTTTCTCCGGGAGAGTCCTAAGAAATGAAATGAAAAGGGGGGGGTCCCTGCATTTCTCCCCCCCAATGGAACTCCCCCTCCCGCACTCACCTCTCCGGCCAAGCACGGGGCCGCCCTGGAAAACCTCGTAGTTGTGTCGGCAGAAGCGATCCACTCGGGACTTCGCGTCCTGAAGGATGCGCTTATCCCTGTTGAAATCCTCCGCATCCGCCTTCCCCAACGCCGAGACGGCCTCGAACTCCCCGCGGGCGCTGTCGAAGCGGACGATCTCCTGCCGGTCGTAGGTATCCCGGTACACGTACCGCACCCGCCGCGTCCCGTTGAGGAAATGGCACTCCTGCTTCTCCTGGTACAGGAAATGGGCTGCGGGGAGGAGGAGGAGGAGGAGGAAGGGCGTCAGGAGGGACTCCAGGGCCCATGGTTCCCAGCCTCTCCTAGAGGAGGGACACAAATCTTGGCAGAGGAGGGGAGGGAAACCTGCCGGGAGAGGCTACCGGAAGGCGCCCCCTGGAGGAGGGATGGGGAACCGTCGGTCCCAGCGGGATTCCTCCTCACTTGGTGGGGGGTCGGGAGGGGGGGAGGAAAATGAGGGAGGGGAGGAGCTTCCTGAGGGACCGCCTCCTTCTCCCGAGGGTGGAAAAAGGCAGGCAGAAGTTCAGCTGGTCCAGCACTCGGTCTACCTGTCTGCAAGGAACGTTGGATCCCGGTGGGGCCTCTTTGCCCCCCAAACTAGCAGGAAATATGGGGGGAGGAAAGAGACCCCCTCTGGGCTGGATCCACGCTTCCCTCTCCCTCTTGCTTTGGGGCGGTTGGGGAGGGGACACAATCAGGATACTTACACCCATGCTCCTGGGCTCTGCCTGCCCTTTGCAGCCCCACATTCCCTTTTCTTGTTCCCCCCCCTTGCCCCCATCTTCAGCCCCACAAGCTGCCTTTGGATGATTTTCGAGGCCTCTTTCCTGTCCCCTTCCCAAAGGGACCCCCCCTGCAGCCCCCCAAGGCCACCTCAAAGGGAGGGGCCCAGCCCCCTTCACTAAATGGATAGTTTGCAGGAGCAACTCAGACCCCCCCCAATATCCCTCCCAATAGAAGCGGAGAAGGCGAGGGAGGGGAAGATTTTCAGTCTTGGGGGCTGCAACTTTAGAGGGGTGTTCGAGGGGGGTTGTGGACTTCCTTTTTTGCCCCCTCCCATGAATCTGAACCACAGTCCCCCTTTCTCTATGTGCCTGGAGGGGTGGACTAGATTCCCCTTTAAGCTCCCTTAAGGCCCCCCCATGAGGAGTCCAGGCTGGGTCAGCGGAGACTTCGGAAGGGCTGAGGGGAACCGGGGGGGTCTCTCCGGAGACCCTCCCTCCCCCTGGTCTCCCTTGGCCCAAAGGGGCTTTTCCAAAAGGCAGCTGGACTTTCCTGGGTTTTCCCTTGAAGACGTTTCGCTTCTCCTCCCAGAAGCTTCTTCAGTTCTGACTGAATGGTGGAGGGTGGAAGGACGGATGTTCCTTGCGGTCATTTTGAAAGTCGGTCACTGGTTCTCTGAGGGGCCTTGCGGACCCCCAGGGGTTTATCTGTGCCCTCAGAGTCCCCTGAATTGGGGGGGCAAAGGGGTGGGGAGCCTTCCTGGGGCTGCTGAAAAGACCCCGTTGTAGGCAGGAGATGGGGGGTCCTTTCCTTCCCCCCACTCTGTTGAGGGAGGGCTGCTCAACTTTGATCTAGATGGCTTGGGGGTCTGGGGATCTTGGGGAGAAGGGAACCCCCAGATCTCCTAGTTATCCCCCAAATTTTCTTTTCCCCCCCACAACTTCCCTCCTACTAGCTGTCTTTGCGTGATTTGGGGGTTCAGCCCTCTTTCCTGTCCCCCTGGAGCCCCCCAAGAGCCATCTCAAAGGGAAGGTGTCCAGCCCCCCTCACAAAAGTGATAGTTCTGGGTAGACATTTTAGGGGAGCAATTCAGACCCCCCAATATCCTTCTCCCTCTGTTCACTCCTCCCTTCCAGGTCCCGATTCAGCAATGGGGGAATGTGGGGTGGGGGGTTCTCCGTCCCTTCCCCAAATTCAGAGTCTCCCCCAAGAAGAAAAGGAAGCTCAACTCTTCCCTCACCTTAAAAAAAAAATGGAGAGTCAGAAGAAAAACTGAAATTGCAAAAACACTTTTTGGTGGCCTTTGTGGATTCAGGTCTGAAAGTGCCTCAGTTTCCCTTTTTCACTTTCACTTTCCGACTCTTTCCTCTTTCGGTGCAAGAAACTTTGGGGCTCAGGCGCTAATTCGGGGTGCGCAAGGTCCCCCTCCCACCCAGCCACGGGGGGGGGGGCAGAGAGGGACCCAGCTGTCTCTTATCCCACCTAGGTTACCTTCCTGACGGAGGGGGCGGAGACCACGCGGAGATCGAGGCTCCCATCTCTCTTGCCCTGCACCCCTTTCCCTACTTCTAGGGTCCCAGCCCCTTTCTTTCTCTCCCCTCCCAGGCAGTGACGGCCCCTCACAACCTCCCCACGCCCAGCCCCCTCCTTACCGGGGGTCTCCTTCCCCCCTTCGCTTCCGGGGATCCAATCTAGCGCCCCCACCAGCAGCAGCAACAGGGGGAGCCCAGGGGAGCCCATGGATGCCGCCCCACCAGCGCCCCCCAAGAGAGGGGAGAGAGACGCGGAGGCTCCCAGCCCCAGAGGCGGAATAGATGGGTCTGGATTGGGGGGAGGAGGCATTTTCCTCGAACTTCGGACCTGGGAGGGCCCAGGAAAGCGGAGGGACCAATGGGAGCCTCAGAGTCTCCCCCAAGAAGGAATCCAGCTCAACTCTTCCCTCCCCTTAAAAAAAAAAAATGGAGATTCAGAAGAAAAACTGAGGTTGCAAAAACACTTTTGCCAAAAAGCGTCTTTTTTTCTTATACTCTTTGCTGGCCTTTGTGGATTCAGCTCTGAAAATGCCTCAGTTTCCCCCTTTCGCTTTCGCTTTCCGTCTCCTTCCTCTTTCGCTGCAAGAAACCTCGGGGCCCAGGCGCTAATTCGGGGTCCGCAAAGTCCCAGCCACGGGGGGGGGGGGCGAGAGAGGAGCCCGGCTGCCTCTTACCCCACCTCGGTTGCCTCCCCGCGACCCCCGCCCCATCTTAGCCACAACAAGGGAAGAGGGGAGGGGGCTCCCTCTCCGTCCTGCGGGGGGGGGAAATGAGTCGAGGCAGGGGCGGAGACCACGCGGAGATCGAGGCTCCCGCAGTCTCCCGTCTCTCTTGCCCTCGACCCCTTTCCCCACTTCTGGGGTCCCAGCCCCTTTCTTCCCCCCACCCCCGGGGTCTCTGACGGCCCCTCCCAGCCCCTCTCCTCCCTCGACGAGCCCCCTCCTTACCGGGGGTCTCCTTCCCCCCTTCGCTTCCGGGGATCCGGGCCAGCGCCCCCGCCAGCAGCAGCAGCAGCACCAGGGGGAGCCCAGCGGAGCCCATGGAGGCCGCCCCACAAGCGCCCCCAGAGAGACGAGAGACAGAGACGCGG